AACTCAGTAATAATCATTTAAACAATCCAAGGGCACATTCTACAAGCCTGCCTCCTGGCCGCCAGCACATAGCCTTTCTCTTTCCATGAGTCTAGAGTCCTCAGCTGCTCTATCTCTCCATGTCATCATCTCTGCCTCTATCTCTGGTGTCGCTGCTTCTCTGGATAGGGTCCCACATTCTGCTCATATCATGATGTTATTTATTGGTCCTGTTGTGAGAATTTTCATTTTACATTTCATTTATATTGAGGTGCAATCTATACTGAAAGCTGTAATCTTTGATCTTCATCAGTAAATGTTTTAAGTTCTCTTCACTTTCAGCAAGTAAGGTTACATCATCTGCACAGAGCAGGTTATTAATGTGTCTTCCTCCAATCCTGATGCCACATTCTTCTTTATATAATCCAGTTTCTCAGATTATTTTCTCAGCATACAAATTGAATAAGTATAGTGAAAAGATATAACCCTGCTGCACACACACCTTTCCTGATTATAAACCTGATTCAGTATTCCCTTGTTGTGTTTAAACTACTGCCTCTTGGTCTGTGTACAGGTTCCTTACAAATACAATTAAGTGTTCTAGAATACCCATTCTTTGCAATTGTGCCCATATATTATTGTTATTCACACAATTGAATGTCTTTGCATAGACTATAAAACACTAGCAGACATCTTCCTCATAGTCTCTACTTTCAGCCAAGATCCATCTAACATCAACAATGATATTGGTCATTCCATATCCTCTTCTGAATCTGGCTTGAATTTCTGGCCGTTCCCTGTTGATGTACTCTGCAACCATTTTTTAAATTATCTTCAGGAAAATTTTACTTGTATGCGATATTAAAGATATTGTTCAATGATTTCTACATTCCGTTGGGTCACCTCTCTTTGTAATGGCACAAATATGAATCTCTTCCAACTAGTTGGCCAAGTAGCTGTCTCCCACACTTCTTGGCATAGGTGAGTGAGTGCCTCCAGTACTGCATTAGTTTGTTGAAAGAGTTCAATTTGCATCTGTCCATTTCTGGAGTCTTGTTTTCACCTGGGCCTTCAGTGCAGTTTGTACTTCTTCCTTCAATACCATTGGTTCTTGATCATATGCTGCCTCTTGAAATGGTTGAACATTGACCAATTCTTTTTGGTACAGTGACTCTATATATTCCTTCCATAAACATTTGATGCTTCCTGCATTATTCAACATTCTGACTTTAGAGTCTTTTAATATTGCAACCTGAGTCTTGAATTTTTTCTTCAGTTCTTTCAGCTTGAGAAATGAAATGCTGAGCTTATTTTTCCCTTTTGGTTTTCTAACTCCAGGTCTTTGTACATTTCATTGTAATACTTGACTTTATTCTCTAGTCCTTTGAGATTTTTCTGGGTTTTCATTATTATTATTATTATTCCCCATTTCTTCCATTTGTTTAAGCATCTTAGTGCTGGAGGTCAAGTTTCAGAGTCTCTTCTGATACACATGTTTTCTTTTCTTTCTTGTCTTTTTAATGACCATTTGCTTTCTTCTTTTATGATCGGAATGTGATCCTGCAACTCTTCTGCTCTTCAGTCATTAGTATCTAATGCATCAAATGGATTTTTCAGAAAGTTGCTAAATTCAGGTGGTATATATTTAAGGTCATATTTTGACTCTCATTGATGTTTTAAATTTTTCTTCAGCCTGAGCAATTGAAGATCAGTTCCACAGTCTATCCCTGGTCTTACTTTGGCTGATGGTATTAAGCGTCACCATTTTCTCTTCTCACAGATGTAGTCAATTTGATTCCTGTATATGCCATCTGGTAAGGTACTTGTGTATAGTCACCCTTTATGCTGTTGAAAAGGTATTTGCAATAAATCATTTTTTGGTCTTGCAAAATTTTATCACATGATCTTCAGCATCAATTCTAATACCAAAACCATATTTTCCAACGACTGATCCTTCCTCTTTGTTTCCAACTTTGGCATTCCAATTGCCAATAATTATAAATGCATATTGATTGCATGTTTGATCAATTTAACACTGAAGAATTTGATAAAATTCTTCAATTTCACCATCACTGACTTTAGTAGTTCATGCATAAATCTGAATAATAGTGGCATCTTTCTTGTCTTATCCTATCACAAACAGTATTGTACTTTAAGATAGATCTTGAAATGCTCTTTATAACAATGAATATTATTCTATTCCTCTTCAATTTGGTTCTGGCATAGTAAACCCAACGATTGTCATATTCAAAATGGCCAATACCAGTCCATTTCAGCTTACTAATGCCTAGGATATCAGTCTTTATGTGTTCCATTTCATTTCCAATTTTCTTAGATTCATACGTCGTACATTTCATATTCCAGTTATTAATGGATGTGTGCAGCTGTTTCTTCTTATTTTTTTGTTGTACTCCATCAGCAAATGAATATCCTGGGAGATTAAGTTCATCAACGTCATTAAGGTCAACTCTACTTTGAGTAAGCAGCTCTTTCCCAGTTGTACTTGGAATGCCTTCCTACCGGAGGTACTCATCTTCCAGCACTATATCTGACAATGTTTCATTGTTATTCATCTATAACGTTTTTAGTGATGAACCATTCCAAGGTTTCAATTCTCCTTCTCCTTAGTGTGTCTTAGTCTGTAAGTTCTGCTGCAATCTGCCTACCATGAGTGATCCTGCTGGTATTTACAATATGGTGGCATAGCTTCCAGCATCATAGCAACATATAAGCCACTACAGTATGACAAACTGACAGATGGGTGGTGGTGGATTCTCTAGGGGAACTACAGTAATTAAGCATATTTATAAGAGTAAGTCAAAAAGTATTGACACCAGCTTTCCATTTCTTACATGCTCATGTTTATTCCAAAACAAACAAACAAGAAAAACAAAAGCACAACATGTTTAAACACCCACTGTGATCAGCGGACTCCTGGTATGGTGCTATAGGGTAAGCTCTCAACCGCAAGGTCAGTGTGAACCACAAGGTCATCAGTTCAAACTCATCACTGCTTCTCGGAAACCTTATACAGGATTGCTATGAGTTGAAACCGACTAGTTGACACTTAACAACAACTGTGATCAGTGGATGACTGCAGACACATTCTCTCAGTAATACACTTGTTTTAGTGTCACTAGGGTGCCTTCAAAATAGAAATGGTCCAATCAAAACAGTGGCTTCTGAGAGGTTCTATTGGGCCTGTCAAGTTCAAGGCAGCAAGGTTATCTCAAGTTATTGTGACTATTTTTTAAGGATCCTCAAGGGATCTAAATAGATGTTCTCAAAGAAAACAAGATGATCACACGAGCTTATTATGAAGAAATTCTAAGGAGACTGAAAACTGCGTAAGTGAGGAAAAGGCCAGGAAAGTTGCACTGAGGAATTTTCCATCAGGACAATGCGCCTGCTCATTCTTCAAGGGTAGCAAGGGCTGTTTGTTCTAGGAGAATTTCTTTAGGAAACCTTACTCTGATCACCCTCTAATCCTGGTCTTGTTTTTGTTCCTAAAACTCAAGTGTATTTTAAAAAAATGATTTGAATCCTTGGAGAATGACAAAACTGCTGTTCTAATGTGGTGGAAACACCACCTTCAGATATGTACAGACTTGGAGACTGTACTAAGTAACAATAACTTTGCATTTTAATTTTTTTTTTTTAAATAAAGTTTTTAATGATATTGTAGCAATACTTTTTGATTTACCCTCATATAGAGAGATGTATTTCAAGGAAGTTGTTCACTCAACTGTAGAGGCTGGTAAGTCCCAAATCTGTGGATCAAGTGTCAAGCTCCTGACTCACGTTGCTGCAGGAATTGATGAACCCAAAATCTACGCATCATTCAGCACTCACGGGGTTTTGGGAGTAGGCAAATCCAAAACTGAAATTCAAAGATTCTCCCAAGGTTATTTATTTATTCAGCAAATATTTATTATGTACTAATAACTGTTTTAAGGAAGTCTGGTAGTGGAGTGGTTACGAATCGGCTGCTAACCTCAGGGTCAGAGGTCGAAACTACCAGCTGTTCTGTAGGAGAAAGATGAGGCTCTCTGCTCCCGTAAAGATTTACAGCCTCGGAAACCCTGTACAGGGTCGTTATGAGTTGGAACCGACTCCACGGCACATAACAACAACAACAAGAAGATAAACATCTACCTTTAATCTCTCCTTCATTACCATTGAGTTAATTCTGACTCACAGCAACCCTATAGGATAGAGTACAATTCTGCTTCAAAGGGTTTCCGAGATTGCAAATCTTTATGGGAGCAGACAACCTCTTCTTTCTCAATCATAGTTTCTGATAGATTTGAAACACCAACCTTTCAGTTAACAGCCCACATTTAACCCGCTGCACCACCAGATGCTTTCCTACCCTTATGAAATTTACATTTTAATTATATAGTTTCCAAGCATTTTTTTTTCATCATGACTTAAAATAAGAAATACATTTTAAGCTATCATATAACATATACAAGTAGACTTCTAAAAGATCATGGAAAAAGGAATAGAATTTTTCCACGGACTTTTTGAAGCCCCCACATACATTATACAAATACATACACACACATATTTGACACAAAGATTTCACAAACACACACACACACACATGGACTTGCCCTTAATGCATGCAATGATTTTTTTATTCTTCTTAAAACTGGTCATAAGGTATTAAATTGATTCCATGATTCATGAATGGGTCATAATTCACAGTGTGAACACAGCCTTCTGGTTGACTTCAATGGAGTAAGAGTAATATTGATACTGATACGAATAAATATTTCCTCAAGACTTGGGGATTGATCTACACCTTTTTCAGTGTGTAGTTTAATGGCAAGAAAAAGATGAGAAGTAAGCTGCCTGTCTTTTCACAGACTAGAATGGATTGGTGGTGGCTATGTAACCCCAGTTTGTATCTCCTAAAATGTTCAAACTTTATCCCTTTGACATCACATGTTCTGCTTGTTCCCAATCATCACACATGTTTTATCGTTGTCCTCTAACCCTTTGTTCTCTCCACATAGGCTGACAACAGATTATCCAGGCCACTATGGTGAAGAGATAGACATGGTCTCCTACAGTTATGATTATTATATGCGAGGAGCGGCGACCACATTCTCTGCAGTGGAAAGGTGTGCCTTTCTCATGGGCGAGGGGTTAAGGGATATAGTGACTAACTTCATGCATGGATTTTGATCTTAGGTTTTCTCTCTTTTATTTTCCTTCTTGGTCTGGAGCTAACTTGGGGTTTGTCTGGAGAATAGGAGGTATGAGAGGTGAGCTGCTCTCACCGTCCACCTTAGGAAGCAGCTCACCCATGCAGATGAGGCTGGACTCCACGCCTGCTCCAGAGCAGAGAAACTTAAATGTGACTTCTCATCATGCCCTAAGCTCTCCCCCTCGCTCAATGCCAAGAACATTGTATCCTCAAATGACTGGAGGAGGGCCACTGTCAGATAAAACTCTCTCCTTTATTTGACATTCATTTTGTGTTGTGAAAGAAGAGAGACAAAAGAGGATAGGAAGCTGGGGAGAACACATAAAACTTAGGAAACATATTTAGAAGTGAAAAAGGAGAATTTGCATAAGATAAAGGAAAAGTTGCACCAACCTGTTCCTTCTCTTTCCCTCAAAAACAGCTCTCAACACTATCTCAAGTACATAAAAAAGAAAACTAAACAATGAGAGAAAACAAGAATGTTTCTACTTACTGGTGTAGAGAGTTGTTGTTGTTAAGTGCCACCAAGTCAGTTCCGACTAATACCAACCTTGTATAGGGTTTCTGAGACTGTATATCTTTAAGGGAAGTCATGGTGTGGTGCCGTAGGATAAGCACTGGACTGCTAACCACAAAGTCTGTGGTTCAAACCCATCAATTATTCCTTGGAAGCCTTATACCAACCTGCAGTCAGTCTCAGAATTAAAAGCTTGCCTTAGGCTATAGGAGCCCTGGTGGCACTGTAGGATAAGCATTGGACTGCTCATCACAAGTGTGTGTTTCAAACCCATCAGCAGTACCATGAGATAAAGATGAGATTGCCTGTGCCATTAAGATTCTCAGTCTTAGAAACCCCATATAGGGTCTGTCTGAGTCAGAATCACCCATGGCAGTACTATGGAAGCTACACTTCCTTCAGCTACTGAAAGACATTCAGAAGCTGAGTTGAGAACTTTTGAATGTAGGCCTTTTCAGTCTTGGTAATTAGGACAGACTGAACTGGGAAGAGGCCTTGCAAATTGAAAGAGGAGAAGGACAATTCTAAGGGTAAGCAACCCCATGACTAAATATGGAATAACTCATATTTTGTCGTTTATCAGGACATTGATGTCCTCTGGACACTCAGTTAGAGAGGCAGTGTGGTGTAAAAGAAAGCAAGATCTGAGCCCCCAAAACTTGAGTGAGAATCTCTAATTGTCATGTAAATTGGAATCAACAGTGACTAACACACAACTTAATACCAGTTCAGTCACTTATCCTCTCTAGGAGCCCTCCATAGCAGTGCTTTTATCCTTTCTGAAACTGTTTGGTCACCTAGCTAGTGAATCAGTTGTTGTTGTTGTCAAGTGCCGCCGAGTCGATTCCGATCCATAGCGACCCTGTATAGGGTTTCCAAGGAGCAGCTGGTGAGCTTGAATCGCCGACCTTGCAGTTCCAACAGCTTTGCAGTCTGGTGCATTAAACCACAGCACCACACCAGGACTCCATGATCAGATAGTTAGTTAACTAAAAAAGCAGGAAAGGTACCTAGTGCAATGCTGGATATATTGGAGGAACTCAGTAAGTGGTTGTTAAGTTATCATTGCCACTATCATTATTAATATAATAGTCCAGAGGTGGGTCATGCACCCTATATTTTTTGTTAAATGGATGGATAAAGAACTCAGACTTGTCCTTAGCAAAGAGCATTTCTAGATGTACACCCACATCATGCCTTTCAAAACTGACCAATCCCATGGACTCTCCTATCCATCCCTGGCTCTAAAACAAATATGCAATTTCATTTTTATTGTTCAAAAATGGCAGATAATTTCTTTTTCATGTTATTATATATATATGTATATATATACATACATACATATATATACACATATATGTATGTATGTGTATATATACATATATGTCTATTTTCATGCTATTATATATTGTCAATTTTCATGTTTATATATATATATATATTAGAGTTGTCTCCTATCGCTTCATTTCTTTGTAATCATGTGTTCTGAAGGGAAACACATAGTGTGTAATACAGAACCTAGCACTCAATGAAAGAAAGAACAAATGAGCAAATGGGGGAAAAACAAATAAACAAACAAAAGCAGTTGCTGTTGAGTTGATTCTGACACATGGTAACCCCGGGGGGTGTCAGAGTAAACATATGTTCCATTGGGTTTTCAATGGTTGAAGCTTGTAACTGTTAGCACCAGTCAGATAAGGCTTGTTTCAAAATGGGCTCTTTAGAATGAAACAGAGACAAGGCTAAATAAATGTTTTCATTCCAAGCTGTTAACTTACATGTGCTTGGGTTATCTTTGGGTGAACAAACCACTAGTGATGAACAGAAGTCTCTACACTCAGTTAACTAGTCATTCAAGTTCAAGATGAACCTGAATAAAGTGAAGAGGTACTGAGAACTATTGACCAGTTTTGACTTCAAAGATAATCTGGCAGCTCTCTAGAGTTCTCCTAGAAGTGTCTTCTAAGAGCAAAGTTAGGTTAGGTGTTCCTTCAGTCTCTATATCCTCCGACTGTCCTTTTTTGCTTTCCCCCAAGAGGGCTTCTTCCTTTGGTGTCTTTTCTCACTGACATTAACTTTCTGACTCTCTCCCCACAGGGATCGTCAGTGGAAGTTCATAATGTGCCGGATGACTGACTATGACTGTCAATTTGAAAATGTTTAGATTTGCCTAGTGTCGTATCTGGGTGAAGAGAATGGGGCAGGAGGCCTCAGCATGTCCATAGATGTTGACATTAGTTGGAACTCCTCTAGCTATTTTTGGCTGCTCTCTTTTTCTCTCCCTGAGCTAGTAGCTGCATTGCCAGCTTTCTGGGCTTTTCTGACTAGTGTCTCACTTATAAAAAAATTCCACAACTGTGCTGTGTTTCTCACTTTCAGCGCTTTCCATAGCAACTGTTGTGTATGACTGACAATGGCTTCCTTGCCCATATCCAGTGTGCATGCTTACATTGGAGAAAAGCTTGGCCCCAAGGAATACCTGTCACAGCCTTGCTACTTACTGTCTTTATTGCAAAATTAGCTGCAAGTAGGTCTGATGTTGAGCAATATCTTTGGGAAATGTCAGTGTGGTAGGGGCAGTAAGGCCAGAGCCTGGGAGGGATACATTCAAGGTTCTCTGCTACATGAAACCCAGAGTCTTTACCAAGGGCAGCTCCCTAGCCTTGAGAGGACATGCTTCTACTCCATGTCCACACCAGGCTTCCATGGTTAGAAGTTCAAGTGCAAAGTTCTCTGCTCCAGCAATGAAGGCGAAATGTAAAAGTGGAAGAGTTTAGAAACAGAGCTGACAAACCTGGATGAGAAAAATTTTCTCAATTAGTAAAGGTGCCTTTGCATACCCAGCTATGAAAATGTGTGCAGGGGCTGGAGGCACCTGTCAGAATCAGCCTCAAGTAAAAGAAAAACAGACGAAGGAAGAGAGAAGACAGGGAACAGGGCTCAGTTTGGGAGCTTGAGGAGGTGAGAGCAGCTTTGGGGGTTCTAGAGAAATGTCCAGAACTCCTGTCATCATAAGGAACAACTGGAAACTCAACCTGGACATGTCCTGACTGGCTGAGGAGGCAGAGCTGCACTTCAGACCCAGATTCCTTCTCTGTGCAGGTAACGGGTATTTGGAGGGAAGGATAGCACCATCCAGTGGCATTTCTATGGGAGCACAAAGGGTTCAAGGAGTCCTGGATGAGTACTGGACTGCTAACCAGCAAGCTGATAGTTCAAACCCACCAACCACTTCTCAGAAACCCTATACAGGGTGGCCGAGAGTCTGAACTGACTTGACCACAACTGAGCATGTGAAGCATACTGGGTGACAGTGTGAGAGGGGGTGACACCAAACTGAAGTCTATAAAATGTTTATGCAGTGTTTCAGCAGAAATGTATTCATTTTTAACAAAAATATCCCTGTAGCTAGTTAAAACAACCAAAATATTTTCTGAAAGCCAGTTTACAAGTACCGCTACACCTTCAAGGCTAAAACTCTGTGCTAAGTTCCTTTGTGGCTTTCTAATGTACTCCTGTCAGAATTCTCATTCTTCTCCAATTACATTGATGCTTTGAGTAACACGTTTCATCTGCATGCACTGCAAGGCACATGCTGTTGCTATTCCTTGCTGCTGGTGCTTTTATTGTCACTGACTTTGTCAAATGTTCTGGTGTTTTAACTACAATATTATGATAATTCGTATATGTGAACCTGTATTAATAACGTTTTTGAGACTAAAATATCAATTAAAGGAAAAGGAGAAAAAAATTAAAGACTTCTACTCAGTTACTAATAATGTAATTCGACGTAGAAAGAGTTTACAAAATAATTTTGTACTCTAGGTGTAGCGCCATAGAATAAGCTCTCGACCTCAAGGTCGGTTTGAGCAGCAAGGTCAGTGGTTCAAACTCACCAGTTGCTCCTCAGAAACCCTAGACAGGGTTCCTATGAATCAGAACCAACTCCATGGCACTCAACAACAGCAGACAGACAGTCCCTGGGTTAGTAATGTCTAACTTAAAGACAATTCCTACTTAACTTTTTAAAATTTTTTTCCTACTTAACTTTTAATGTTATGTAAATTTGCCCTTATTTGGAAACAATTGAACTATTCGCAACAAATTCTTCATCACAAACACCTGCATTTGCTGCTTGTACAGCTGTTAAAGTAGTGAAAGGGCTTGGAGCATTTTCTTGCAGTAAAGTAAAGCTAAATAAAAACCGTAAACACCTGGCCCAATTTACCTACAAATTCATAAAGACATGGTTAGAACTGATCTTTTTCATAACCCGGGAACTGACTGTATTCATACAATCTAAGATAAGCACTGGACTGCAAGGTTGGTTTGAACCGCAAGGTCAGTGGTTCAAGCTCACCAGCCACTCCTCAGCAACCCTATACAGGGTTGCTGAGCCAGAACTGACTCAACAGCACTTAATGACAACAACAACAGGCAACTCACAACTGTATTTATCACATGTTATTCGATGAGTAAAATTGACAATAAATGTTACTAAGGATTCATTATGGAATCCTGGATCAGCGCTGGCTTGCTAACTACAAGGTTGACAGTTTAAACCCACCAGCTGCTCCTTGGAAACCTTATAGAGTCAGAAGTGACTTGAGAGCACTTATCAAAAGCAACAAGGATTCTGTGTGGTCTGATGTGACAGGAGACCCATGGTGAGGGCATGGCTGACACCACGAACTACCGCACTAGGTGACATCAGTTCTAGTGGCACCACTAGCGCTATCTTTCCTCCTCCTGTGATGCCTCTGTCCCAAATCCTTTATGTTCTCGTCATCAGAAAAAGAATAAAAATATTGGCAGTCACCATTCTGTAAACGTTAAGGGTTAGTTGTTGCTCTTTCTCCCTGCCTGTTCCAATTACCCATCCATTCACATGGCTGACCATTGTGATTTGTGTCAAGCACTGTGAAAACCACCAGGGATACAATGATGACAAGGATTGAAAGTGGTTGGCAAATCATATAATTAAAAAATAAAAAAGCTTTTCAAGTGGATTTTTAAAATTAAGAATTGGACAAAGGAAGGAACTGCTCTTCTTTGCATTTGAGGCTCTCCAGAATTTTTATCAGCATCCTTCAGTTCTCCTCCATCAGCATGTCACATGCATGTTTAACTACAGGAATCCCCTGTTCCCTCTATCCAAATGGTTTACATTTTGCTTTCTGATCTATCCTGTCCTTCTCCTAGGAGACCCGGTTTGGCAAAGTCACAGGACTCATCTTCCTTGTGATCTACTTCATGTATATGATCAAGATGGTGAATCTCAGCCAACAATGAGTAAACTTCTCACTGTAAGATCCCAACATTTGCATAGGGAAAGGAGAGCCTAGGGTGTTCTGCTTTGCCTTAGCTCTGAAACATTCTTTTAAAGTAAATTTTGCTTCATTTCCTCCATGTCATTTTTTCCATTTCTCTGGCCATTTTAATTTACAACAAGAAACTTCACTATGCTGTTTTTTCCACAAAGGGAGCCATTAATATTTTAATGATTGCAGTACTAGTTCAGGATTATTGTTGTTGTTGTTAAGTGCTGTTTAGTCGGTTCTGACTCATAGCAACCCTGCATAGGGTTTCTGAGGTTAGCTGGTCAGCAGTCCAGTGCTTATCCTACAGTAAGTAGCACACTGTTGTTGTTATGTGCTATGGAGTTGGTTCCAACTCATAGTGACCCTGTACAGGGTTTCCGAGGTTGTAACAGGAGCAGAAAGCTTCATCTTTCTCCAGCAGAACAGCTGATAGGTTCAAACTGCTGACCTCACGATTCATGGCCCGATTCGTAACCACTACGCTACCAGAGCTCTGCAAGTAGCACACTAAGGCTCAGGAAATAGCTTGAGCTGTATGGAGTACAGCTGGTGTGAAGACAAGCAATGCTGATTGGCTGATGTGGCACCTCTGATGAAATGAAAGGTTGGTGAGAGGCTGTGGGAGGGTAAGGGAGTGGGTGACTCTGATTAGAGAAGCCTGCACTGGGAGGAGCAGTCCAGGAGACTGCAAAAGAACACAAGAAAACGATGATGAAGTAATCGATTAAGAGATGTCTGGACCAAATGGAATAGAGGAGATTTTTTGGTAAGAGAAAAACTTCTTCTTTGCATATAGGCCAAGGAGGACAATGAGAGTTAAGGACTATATCAACTGTGTTTATACTTTTTATTATGTGTCAGTCAGTAAAAGCTAAATGTCATGGGGAGTACAAAATCCCAAATTCTCTGCATTTTCATTACTCTAATCTGTCATTCTACTGACTTGCTCCAAAACTTTAGATAAGTCGTTCCTGCTATCTAGGTTTGAGCTAAAAAATGAGAAAATTTATCTAACTAATCATTGTTGTTAAGGAGCGCTGGTAACATAGTGGTTACAAATCAGGCTGCAAACCTCAATGTTGGCAGTTCAAAACTACCAGCCGTTCTGCAGGAGAAAAATGAGGCTTTCTGCTTCCATAAAGATTGACAGCCTCGGAAACCCTGTGCAGGGTCACTATGATACAGAACTGACTCCACGGTACTTAACAACAACAACAATCATTGTTGTTAAGTACTGCTAAGTTGGTTCCTACTCATAGTGACCCTGTATTGGATTTCTGACACGTGGCAGGTGAGTTTGAACCGTTGGCCTTGTGGTTCAAACAGACCTTGTGGTTCAGTAAGAAAAGAGGACCCTGAACCAGTCTTCAGAGTCACAAGAAATTTTTCTGACGAGGCAGTCTATGCTTGGCCTTGAAGGACAAGTAGCACTTGCCCAATGAATGAGAATGACTATGGGTTCTGGATTCAGATAGCCAGAATCCTTGCGTCTGCCTCTTACCAGTTGTATGACTTAGGCCTCACTTTCCCTGAGGTTCTATTTTCTCACCTGTAAAAATACTAGTATCTACATCATGGAGCTGCTGTAAGGGTTAAATGAGCATTGCATAGTGTCTTGTACATAAGACATAAGTACCCAATAGAAGTCATAAAAGGAATTCTGGTAACATAGTGGATTTTGAGCTGGACTGTTAACTGCAAGGCCAGTAGTTCAAGTCTACCAGTTTTGGAAACCCTATATAGGGTTGCTATGAGTCAGAATCAGCTTAGTTGCACAGAGCCACCACCCACCACATGTGATACAAGGAATGGGAGTATTCATAGGCTATATTAGAAATAAATTTCATTTGCTAAGACAGATAGTTGTTGTTGTTGTTGTTG